CTAGTAAGAGTCCAAGAAATGTATCTTTCAGTGACCTGTTGCATTCAATATCTTGGAATGACTCCAGTAGATCAATCACTCTTTTTTAAGATCTCTAAAAATGCCTCCCTTAAAGTGTTTGTAAACCCTTTCATAAACTTAGTGAAGTGACTGGCCTCAGGTGATACACAGAAATGAAACAAATCCTCCTACGTTCTACCTGTCTATCTGCAGTCTTCTCTTCTATACATCCATTCAAAGTGGCAAATTATAAAGTTTGTCTGAGAGTTCTGAAAAAATGGGGAGGAGAGCTGAAATTACACTCTGCAGAGCTCAGTGAGGAGAGCTCTGATAGTTGGTTGGAGGAAAGATACACTCCCCCTCCACACAGCCCACAGGAACAGAGCTGAGGTTGTCAATCTGCTGGAGGTACCTCCCCTGTCACCTTTTTTCTCTTGGTGTCAGAAAAAATTCTCAGAAGTGATTCATGCAGATAGCAGAGGAACAAGGCAGCAGAAATGACACTTAGGAATGCTTCTTATCAGTAAGGTAGCTTTAAAATCGCTTTGACGTCGCACCATGTAGCTGGAAAAGTTCTACAACAAAGTCATGCTGAAAGTCACCCTAGTGTAAACCAGAACTCATGCAGATAGCTGAGGAATGGGGCAGCAGACAGAAATGACACTTAGGGGGTTATTTACTAAAGCTGGAGAGTACAATCTGGTGCAACTTTGCATAGAAACCAATCAGTTTCCAGGTTTTATTGTCAAGGCTTAATTGAACAAGCTGAAGTTAGAAGATGATTGGCTACCATGCACAGCTGCACCAGATTCTGAGTGCATCAGTTTTAGTAAATCCCCCCTTAGTGCTCTGGATTGAGACACTGAGAATGCACACCATAGAGGTTTATGGTTTTTTTTCATATTTCATGTCTACTTTAACGCAAATAAATAAAGTAATAATAAAGTGTATAAAGTATATTCACATTGAATACCCAATTATATACTGTATAGGAGAATTGTTTGATTAGCTCAGAAATTCAAGTAAGTACAGCTTTACTTTTATTACTAATCTAATCATCTGAACATACATTTTGCTAAATTAAGTCTCTACTACTTTAGTAAATCAACCCCAGTGTTTAAAGAATATGTAAAACCAACATTTCATATTCCTGATATGTGCCTGCTGTACCATGTAGAGAACGTATCATGTTCTCTTCGTATTGCTTCCTTTGTGTGAAGTCCCTGGTATTCCCGCCAGTCCCTCTGCTTTCCTATCAAAAACTGACCATACTAGGCAGGAGAGCACAGCGTGGTCATTTTTTTTTAGCTATGCTGGGAACTCAACCTGCTCTTTTCCAGTGATCAGACTTGTTCTGACATGCCCCCCTGCACTTCCCTTCAGTGCTCTGCTGTTTCTCCTCCCCCAGCTCGTATGCAGATAAGAACAGAAGAAATGAGATCACTTATAAAAAAGTGGAAACAAATATTTTTTTTTAATATTTTTTTTTTATATCTATACACAAATGTTTTGCCTTTCATTTCTATTTTAAACTAAATTTGTTGTTTTACAAGGTGAGGGTTTACATATGATTTAAGTACAACACTAATGTGCGTTGTGCTTATTGTGAAACTGTAGTAGTAAAGTGCATTGTGCATATTATGAAATGCAGAGAGATTGTGCTTGCTGTAAAATCACAGTATTAATGTGTCTTGCACTTACTGTGATATTGGTCTGCTGAACTGTATTGTGCTTACATGAACTCATTGTACCGTTTTGCATTTGAAATACACTTGATATAACTGCCAAGGTGTTCATGGTACTGTTCATTGCTTTTAGCTGCAAAAGCAGAATGCAGTATCTTTAGTCTGGAGAGATCCACTTGACAGATGCTGTCAGGCCCGGAGGCCAGAGATACTCATCAGTGTACAAAATGTATTTCTTTATACATTGATGTGATTCTACTTTAAAGTGGAGCTCCATTTTTGTTCAAGCAAAAAAAAATCCCTATATATATACAATGGAAAGGTTGGTACTATACTGTAATTATTGGAAGTTTTTTCGAAAATTGTTTTGCAGCTTTGCTCCTTATCGCTGTTCTGAAGAACCTGTATTTACAAATGTCCTTTCTAACACTGATTTCTAAATGAAGGACCAGCCTTCATTATGATCACCTGACCATACCCAGTGTTGTAATAATAAAAAAACGCTGATTCTGTTTCCTTTTCGGTAATGATAAAGTCTAGGAGGCATTTTAACAAACCTGAAACACTTAGGCTACGTTCACACTAGCGTTGTGCGCAGGGCAGCAGAGAGGCGTTTGGGAAGCGTTTTTACCGCTTTCCAAACGCCTTGGACAATTCTGCACATTGCAGCACATGGTGCTGTTCTAACGGGAGCATTAGCGGCGAGGCGCGGCAAAACGGATGCCTCTGGTCGAGTCAAGAGGCGTTGAAGCCTCCTATTCTAGTCTATGGTGCCACTCCGCAAACGCCCGGTGCGGTTGCAACGCGGTTGCGGGGCGTTTGCGGAGCGGTAACACCATTCAAACTTCATTATAGGCGTTTGTGGGGCATTTTTAACGCTCGGCAAACACCTAGCAACCGCCGCTAAACTGCGCATGCGGCGTTTGCGGAATGTTTGCCAAGCGTAAAAAACGCTCCACAAATGCTGGACCAACGCTTGCCAAACGCTATAGGGACGTGTGGCAAGTGTTGGTAAAACAGTCAAGTGTGAACGAGCCCTTACTGTATGTTAGTAGGAAAATTATCATGTGAATTACCCAAGCAGGACATAAGATTCCTGGGGAGTTCTGTACCTTATCCTATTAATTCTTAAAATGGAATTTCAACCAAAATGGAGAAGTTCTGCTTGTTTGCAACCTCCCCCCCCCGTTCAACGCCACATTAGGCACTTTTACTTTTTTGGGGGGAGTGGGTACTTGGTTTTGACAGGTTCTCGCTCCCACCTCTGGTCAGATCGACGTGGCAAAATTAGGTCCCTCCTCCTTCTCTCTGCAGCCTTTTGGCACGCATAACAGGTCTCAGTAAATTGAGGGGCTATTCACAAAGAGCAGCGTGGCTCATGAATGCACAGTAGGAAGGTTTCACTGCCTGTTTCCCTTACCTAAGATACTGGCACCTGCACCCAACACCAATTGAAGAATCGGCTTGGGTGAGGACATCCCTGGAACCCTGAAAAGGTAAATGTCCTTATATTAAAAGCTGCTGAATTATAATTTTTTGGGGGAAGACTGGAATTTTTCTTTAAGAGCAGAACAAATTAGGATTAATTTTGCTGATTTTGATTGGAGCTTTCTGGCAGAAAAAAATGCCAAACTCTCATAAACTTGCCTAAACTGTGTACAAAAAAAGCTCTATATCATCTTTTTTTATTACAAAGGAAACTGGTGTTTTTTTTAAGCCTAGTGTGTATGGAGCCTTATCGTTTGCTATACCTTACGTCACTTAGAAAAAGCACTTCAGTGTAATTTGTTTTAAATTAAAGTAATTAAAATCAGTAGTTTATAAAAAAAAATTTTAAAGGCATTTTACACTTTCAAATGTTTTTGTTTGTTTAAGTAGGTATTGGTACAGTTATATTCTGTGTGTTGTTTGCTTACTTTACCATGTTTTGATGGGCTGCAAGTGTCATGACTGATAAATTCCCCTATGTCCATGTGTTCATTCATCTACTGTAACTGTCCCCATTTGCCAATGGAACAAGCTACTTCTTGTTCTGGGTCACACAGGGTCCATTCTATGCCTCACCATTTTCACTGTTTTGTATCACATATGTGGGAGTGCTAATGTGATGAAAACACATCTTTTCCAACATAGTTATCTCTATGTTAATTGTTAACTGATAAATTCCCCTATGTCCATGTGTTCATTCACCTACTGTAGCTGTCCCTATTTGCCAATAAACCAAGCTACTTCTTGTTCTGCAGCAGCGTCCAATCTATGCCTCACCATTTTCACTGTTTTGCATCACAAATGTGGGAGTGCTAATGTGATGATAACACATCTTTTCCAACATAGTGATCTCTCTGTTAATTGTTCTGCCTGTTTGTGTCTCTGACAGATCTAATTACTATTTAGCTCTCACCTGCACCAGTGCACCAGGACTAGCTTGAAAGATCTAGGGAATGTGGGATATGTAATTCCTGCACAGGAAGTATCAGTTCTTATCCTGGTTTTTTTTGTTTGCATTCTTGATGTGTTTCCAGATGCTTCTTTTTCCCTTTTTTTTCACTGTACTGGGTTCCAGTACATTTTTTATGTTTTACCACATTCCAGTATAGTCCAGTGCAGGAAAAATGCAGTATGTTCTACTTTTTTTTTCTGGAACTGGAACAACCTGGAACTGACCGCACTGGTGTGAACTATGCCTTTGGAAACCATATAACCTACTTTTCATGTGTTTTTGATGCAGAAAAAAAGATTCACTGGACTGCATGTGGTGTGAACTGGCCCTAAGACCACGTTCACACTAATGCAGTGCTGGACACCACATGCAATTCACAGAGGAACTGCACTGCATTGCTGTGAGAATTACATGCGATGTCTGTGCGGTGTGATTTGAGCCATACATTAACCATTTGACGCCCAGCCAATAGCCGTATCGTGTCCTGAAAAATGTACTAGCTTTTCGGGAGGCCGCCATATGGCGTCCTCCCGCACATGCGCAGTTCGTGTGCTTGCAGATCTGTCACCGGCCGTGTACCTCAGACACAGCCGATGACAGATCTCAGTACCGGCCCCCGTTGCCGGTACCATGTGACCTGCTGTGACCAATCACAGCAGGTCACATGACAGTTCTATACAATGGATGGCTTCATTCATGCCATCCATTGTATACTAGTGTCTAGCTGTGAATGGTCACAGCTAATCACATGCACATGTCATGTGATTAGCTGTGGCCAAATCACAGCTAAGCACAAAAAAAAAAAAAACCGTGAATGAATCGATGTCATTCAGGTAAATGCTTGCTTATAGCAAAGTAATTCTTTGCTATAAGCAAATTGTGTAAAAAAAAAAAAAAAATACTGATCACTTCCCCAAAGTAGTACAATGTTACTATGGCACTGATAGGTGGCACTGACTGGCACTGATGGGTGACACTGAAAGGCAGCTCAGATGGGCACTGATATGTGGCATTGATGTGCACTGGTAGACACTGATATGTGGCATTGATGTGGCACTGATAGGCACTGGCAGGTGGCACTGTTCAGCACTGACAGCTGGCACTGATGGACACTGACAGGTGGCACTTCTGGGGCCACACTGATCATCAGGGCACACTGATCATCAGTGCCCTGATGATCAGTGTACATGTCCCCTCCGCGGAATGCCGATTACCGGCTCTCCTCTCCTCTCGAGCTGTCAGCGTGACAGCTCGTGAGGAGAGAAATGCAGATAACCGGAATTTCCCTGTTTACATGTGATCAGCTGTGATTGGACACAGCTGATCACATGACCGAGCCAACATCTTCGGCTCTTTCCGTAGATCGATGATCCGCTGTGTCCGAGGGACACAGCGCACTGCCGATCACTGCGCTGCGCACTCCCTGAGTCGCGCATGTGCGGTGAGAATGGGAGGACGTCATATGACGTCCTCCCAGAACGAGAGGACCACCTTGCGCCCTTCATTGGACTATATGGCGGGCGGGAGGTGGTTAAACATACACAAGAATTTTTTTTAATGCCTGGTACACACTATGAGTTTTTTTTTTTTTGATCAGACCAGCAGATTGAACAAAAAAAACTGAGGCACTCGGGAGGAGCTCACTGTACTAACTATGCAATGATTGTATAGCGATCTCTCACTGAGCTATTAAGCTCTGACATGGGGACTGCCCACTCCCCCCCCCCCCTCCGTGCTCTGCCAGAACACACCGGATTGGATGCCGATTGGCAGATCTTTTTTGGCATGCCCGTTGTACAGGAGCCAGATGTTCGGTTAGATTCTGTTGGACAATCTGCTGTACACACATGCCGAATGTCGACCAGTTTCTGTTGCACCAGCAGATACCAGCTGCTATTCGGCCTGTGTGTACCAAGCCAGGAGTGTATTTAGAATTTGTGTTGCCCTAGGCAACACAAAAAATCTACCGCCCCTGGCCCCCACTGCCACCCACCTGCCCCCTCACCTGTGACCCATCCGCACACCGCGGCTCCCGCGACTCCCCCTCTCCCCTTCCCCCTGGAGAGAAACTCACCGTCACAGTGGCTCTGTTCCTGGAGTGTCATGGCTGCTCCCATCACTCCGCTCTGCTGCCCAGGAGAACCAGCAGCCATTCTTCCGGGGAGCGGTGCTCCCTTCACTCTGCTCTGCTGCTCAGCCCTGGTGATAAGGGGAACCAGCGGTCTTTCTTCTGGGGGGGCCACAGTGACATCACCCCCCCCCCCTTGAAAAATGCAGTCAAAGACAAATGCCTTGTTTGACTCACAGCAAATACGCCTCTGTACCAGGCATAAGTCTCTACCTCTACCACTCAAATTCCACCTCAGTCTGCCCATTGTGCCCATATTAAGATAAGAAAAAAACATTTTAACTAAAGTCTGCCACTACCTAAACATTGGCAACAAAACAAGTGCAGCAGGTAGGTATTGCTGCACACAGAAAACTGGAAGAATTACTGCAAGGTTGGCTTACAATAAGCATATAACATAGTTGAGCAATGCAAACTAAGCACATGATAAAATGATCTGTAGATCCAGAATTATATGCTGAGAATATATAAAAAATGTTGTCAAACTTATGCCTGGTACACATGGACCAAATATCGTCCAGTATATGTTAAATAGGTTAACATAAGGCCCGTGTGTACAGCAGCCTGTCCGACAGAGGCCAGCTGCACGTCCAACTTCTGTAGAACAGGTATTGCAAAACAAATCTGCCGATCAGCATCCAGTCGACACTCACAGAGAATGGCTGCATGCACTGACCAGTGTGTTCTGGCGTGGGGGGCAGTCCTCCTGTCAGAACACAATAGCTCAATGGGGAGATCACTGTACTAACATCAAATAGCTAGTACAGCAGGCTCCTCTCGAGCTCCTCAGATTTTTCAGGGTTTTTTATGTTCAGCCCCAAAAAAACACATAGTGTGTACCAGGCATTATCCCTGATCTTTCTGTCTCCTTACTGATTCTTTAGTGTGATAGGCTGCCACACTGATCAGCAGGGGTTTGAAAAAACAATGATTATGGTTTAACTTTATTGGTCAATGAGGCCATATTATTAAAGAACCAAATGCAATGCTGAAAGGACATAGAAATATATATACTGACTATATATCTCCGTATTGATTGTTTCGTCATATGGGTTTTACTGAAGGTAACCATTTTTTCATCATATGCTTATTGCTTGACTTTTCAGGGCTTGAGACGGCCTTACAGACCTATTTGAATGTTAATTAAAAAGTATGCTAACAATCCCACAAGGATAAGAAAAATAAACTACATCAAAAGCTGAAACACTTTGTACCTTTCCTGAAGAAAATCCTTCCCTACGCTCTCTCGGTTGTGGCTGAATAACTAAATCCCTAAGACTTTCGTTACATGTTATTTTTTCAAGGGGGGAATGCTGATTGGAATCCTGATCTTCCGCTTTAGTAAACATTTCATGACCAATTGCCGAGACTTTTTAATATATCTGGATAAGCACTTTCTTTATTATAAACAATGATTATACCCTTAAATGAATCCAAAAGTCAAATCGAAAAAACATTACATACCTTCTAAACACGTCTTTGGTACAGCTAATACAGTTAAAAGTGTAGGATAAAACAAAATTTTTGAAAAAGATTACCAACCTGTTCTTGAGACCATTTCTGCCTTTCTTCTGGAGTTCGAACTTTTCCTTTGTAGTTTCTTTGGATGTCACCAACATGCTTTGTAGCTGAGGGAATATTTAATGATTTTGGCCGACCTTCATGTCTGCTGGCAGTTTGGGCAGCGTCTGTTTTCTGGCTTGTTTCCTGATGGTCTTTTGGCTCAGTTTCTAGTCCAGTGTGCTCAGGGCTCATGTCAGTTGGACTATTTATGCTGCTCATACTCATGCTCATTTTGATCTCAGCAACAATCTGATCAATGTCCTCCTCTTGGTCTTCTGCTTCCCCCTCAGTTTTCCTTGCATGAAAAGGGGATTGTGGAAGTGAATTTCCATTAGTTTCTGTTGGATAGTAGTCTTGATATGCTTCTTCATTTTCACTGTACTGAGCTGTTTCCTCTTGGTCTTGAACTTCTAATGAAGACGAATTATCCTCCTCCAACATTTGAATCTGACTTTCATGCCCTATTTCTTCATCTGTACATTCTTGCTGCTGTATCTTGGAGTCTGTCCATTCATCTTCCACTGCTTCAACACATTCATCTGTCTCTATATGGTGCTCCTCATTGGGAATATACTCCTCCCCATTGCAGTCCATACCTTCTAGGTAACTATCATCTTCAGGACAATATCGTATATAATATGTGATTCCTTCCTCCTCATCAGGAAGCCCTTCATCATATTCCTCATCTGAAGTGTTATTTACATAGTCAGAACTTGAATCCCCATCACCACTGTTGTCATTACAGTCTTGTTCCTCCTGGTTGGTTGTAGTGTGCATGCTGGGTATCTGTGTATTGGTGTACTCATGCACCACGGGCTCCTCATATACAGAGTCCTGGTTATCACGACTGCCCATATGAGGAGAAGAAGGGCAGGATCTTGGTCTTTGGTCCAGCATGCTTGCTGCGGTGCTTTGACGTTTCCTGTTTGCCATATTTTATAACCTACACGACCATCATTTCAAGAATTTGTCTGTCTGCAGAAGACAGAAAAAAAAAGTAGGAATGTTATGATTCTTAACCATTATTATGATTTTTAAATTGTGACAGCTTATTTTTGATGAGTTTTAGGTGGACAGCCAGGAATCAAAATTTCAGAAAATATAATCTATTTGAATTTGTTTTCCCTCAGCTATTTTTCTGCAGAACTTTGAAAGTCACATCTGATTGCCGAAGGTTGCCAGAGAGTCTTAGAGTGGTTGTGGTGGACCATTGAACCAGCCAGTTATCAAGACCCTAAACGAGTTAACAAATGTACAAAGAGGCACCGCAAGTGTCTTTAATTTGACAGTATGTTTAATTTCACTTTAAAGAACCTATATACATTACTTTCAAATAAGACACAACACTCTAAATATGAAATAAAGGCATCTTGATATTATGTTCTCAACCTAAATGTTATAGTGATACTTTCCTTAGAGAAACATGGAGATTGCCATTGCTGTCTTCCTCCTTTAAAAAGCTATTTGCTTGGCTATTATGTTTACTCTGGCTTCAATACCTTAAAGTGGTTCTACAGCCAAAACTTTTTTTACCTTAATACATGCGATCTGACAGTTTCAAATTGCATGACAAGTTGTACCCTATTGTGGGCACTGGAACCATTTGGTACTGCACCAATTTGAAAAATGTTCCAGCACTTATTTTTTGCAATTTCAGGTGCGACTTACATAGATATCTGTGCATGAAATCACACAGATGGCTGCCAAGTCTCACTGACATGCGGCTGTGAAATCATTCGTCCGCATGTGAAGTCACACAATCTCAAAGCCAGATCCAGTGTGAACCAGGGATTACTGTCAAAGCCTAACTGAACAAGCTGAAGTTAATAGTTGATTGACTACCATGCACAGTTGTACTAGATTTTGCGTGCTCCATTTTTAGTAAATTTCTCTCTTAGTTTTTCATTTCTGTTCTCATTTATTAAATACTACTTTGTTGTTTTTATAAAAAGCAGTCTTCTATTACCAAATTGGTTTGAGAAGAATGGATATATTTCTGGAAATCACAATGTCTGTTTCACTACAACTAATAGTAGTAGGAGAATCCCTGCTTGAAGCTGACTTCTGCTATCTCACATGGTCTTGTTCTAGAATGCAATCCAACTGAAGGGAAGTGAAGAACTTCATCTTGATGATTCTCATGGCTCCCGTTTCATATTTTCCTTCTCTCTGTATAATAAGTTTATTATCAAGAAAACAGTAAACCCATTATCAAGAGAGTTAAATAACAAAAGCCCTCTTCTTTATATTGAAAACAACTATCCTTAAATAGATGTCTATAAATTTTAACTCTATAACCTTATGGTTCTCACTGGCAAATGCTACTTTAGATTTCATATGGTGATTTACTACCAAAGGAAATGCTCAGTCAAACTCACCAACTAACTCTTTTTAAAAGCCTGATATTTTGTTCACGTTTTTCTTTGGTTACAAGGAGATCTACTGCAAGTCAAATGCAACTATGAATGCTCAAGAATCTCAAATTGATCTTATATGCAACTGAAAGCATGCTGCATTTGCCAAGACACAAGCGCATATATGGCAAAACTGCTACAGTTAATTCCTCAGCTACCAATTCCTCAACAGTTCATTATAGCACCTTGCCATAAAAAAGCTAAAAAATTAAATGATGTATTGTTATTTATGTTATTGGATATTTTACTATACGTCCATCTCTATGGAAAATCAATGTGAAGTTACAACAGGAAATAACTAATGGTATGTGGGTAATGCATA